TTTTTATTTTAATCTATTTAAAATAAATATTAATAAACAAACACACAAACAAATACATGCTTAAGTCTTTCACAGTACATCACCAATTTTTTTTCCTTTTTCTAATTTTCAGCACTGTATGTGTTACTTATATAAACGGCATAAAACCGTTGCCCCAACCAGCCAGCTTCACCACCATACACACACACACACGCACACACACGCACATGCACACATGCACACACACACACGCACACTGCACAGCACTCGCTTGCTAGGTAGCTGCCTCCGATGAATGCAGGCCAGCATTCTCATTTCTCCAGCAGACCTACTATTGGGGGACAATCAATCCTCCGACTGCCTAGAAAGAGGGACAGTGAGGGCTAAAGAAAGAAAGACAATAGAGAGTTGCATAATTTCAAAGTATATGGTGGACCAGGAGGTCCATGTCTCAGAGAGGGCAGAGACAAAGACGCCCCGAGCTGGCCACGATTTACTGGGTGCACACAGCAATCAGAGGGCACATCCGGTAGTTCATAGGGTGGCAGTGATCCTATGCTGATGAGGACCTTAGGAGCCTGAGCATCTTAACTTGGTGAGGGCGGTAAGGAGAGCATTCTTACAATAGTAGGAGGGACAAGATAGCAGAATAATAAGGAAGTTGTCCTTCCTCCAGGTGGTCTTCCTCTTTTTTATTACTGTTGGGTTCTTGAAGAGCTAGGATGTCTTCAGCTGATGTACTCAGTATCAACTTGTGACCCATAGCAAAACAGTTATGTTTCTGCCATAGCCGGCTCCTGGGCAAAGTGACATTGGGCCCTAGACAGCTATAGTCATACTTTAATTATGAAATGATTGTTCCCCAGAAATTATGAAGAATGGCTCTCGACAACCTACAGAGCCTCCGGGTGAATTAGACACTTCATAGTCTGCCTGGCATCGAGTCTCAGTGGACTGAACAGACCAGTGAAAGCACAGAGCTACTATAAAGATAGAATAAATGTCATGGCGTGTGACCAGGGCAGTCACTAGGGTCCTATGCTTCAAGGGGGCGCTGTGTCTGAGTTGTAATGCTCTGTGATCACCATAGTAGAACTCTTAATAATTGGAGGGCACCTTCTCTTTTTTGTTGTTTTTTATTCATTAAGTTTATTGGTACATTTTAGGTATACAATATGATGACATTCATCATTGGGAGTTTGTTCCAGGGGAGGCACCTTCTTGAGACAGAGTCTCACTTTATAGTTCAGGATGGGCTTGAACTCACTATGTAGCCCAGGTTGGCCTGGAACTCATGTCATTCCTCCTGCCTCACCCTCCTGAGTGCTGGAATTACAGCCATGCACTACCATCCCCAACACTTTTTTCCTGCTTTCTTTTTTTTTTTTTTTGGTACCGGGGATCGAACTCAGGACTTTGAGCTTTTGAGGCAGGCCACAGAACCACTAAGCTAAATCCGTGGCCTCTTTCCTGCTGTATGAACAAAGAACACCATCATTTAATTTTACACTGGGCCTCTCAAATTATGTAACTGGCCCTAGTAGAGTGATAATCATAGGCAAGTGGGTTTTGTTTTGCTTTTTTTGTTTTTTTGGTACCAGGGATTGAACTCAGGACCTTGCGCTTTTAAGGCATGCACCGGAACCACTGAGCTAAATCCTTGGCCCCAGAGGCAAGTTTTTAAGAACAAAAGGGTTGAGGGCTGGGGATTTAGCTCAGTGGCACTGCACCTCCCTCGCAAGCACAAGGTCCTGAGTTTGATCCCTGGTACCAAAAAAAAAGAACAAAAAGCTTGAAAATGATGCTTTGTTAACTAGAATATAGCTTCAATGTAACTGGAATTCATTTTTTTTCCTTTTCAAATGGAGTCTTTCTGTGTTGCCCAAGTTGGCTTCAAACTCCTAGAGTGAAAGGATCCTCCTGACTCAGCCTCCCAAATAGCTAGGATTAGAGATGTGGGCCACAGTATAGGGTTGGGAATGTAACTTTCATGAAGGCAAGAACCTTGTCTGTCTTGCAAAAACTTTTATAAGCAGAATTCAATATAAAGGTTGATACAGAGCCAGAGATAGTTGCCTGCAATCCCAATACTGGGAGCTGAAGTAGGAGGATTGCCAGGTTTGAGCCCAGTCTGGGCAATTTAGTGACTTAGGGAGACTCAGTCACAAAATGAAAAGTAACATTTAAAAATGGCTGGGGTGCCACATGCCTGTGATCCCAGCACTTGGGAAGCCACGGCAGGAAGACCACTATGAGTTAGAGGCAGCTGGGGGTACATAGGGAGTTCAGGTCTAGCTTGAACTACAAAGCAAGACCCTTTCTCTTTAAAAAAAAAAAAAAAAAAAAAAAGACAAGAAGAAAGAAAAAAATGACTGGGGATTTATCTCAGTGCAAAGGCCCTGGGTTCAATCCCAATACTTCAAAAAGTGGGGGCGGGGTAACAGGGGGTCGGGGACTGTGCAGTGCTTGCCTCGTGTGCACAAGGCCCTGTCTTCATTCCTCAGTACAACAGAAAACAAAACAAGTAACAATGAAACTGGACACAAGTTACTTGCTGTTAAATATTTATTAATTGAACTGAATTAAATACATTTTGTTTCAGCCTAGTGAAAGATATTTTTATAAGAAAACAACCTAAATATATTGGAAAGCTACTGAAATGAGTACCGTATGATACGTTTGTGCAGCAAGCTGCTATGCAGCTGGGAAATAACAAGGGTGACAGTGTGGCATGGTGGCACACATCCCAGTGCTCAGGAGGCTGAGGCAGGATGATGAGCTCGAGGCCAGCCCGGGCTACACAGAGAGACCACCTCAAAAGATAAAAATAACTAATTAAAACAACAAGAACCACTTTTTTTTTCTCTGGTACCGGGGATCAAACTCGGGTCCTTCCGCTTGCGAGGCAGGCAGCAGAGCCACTGAGCTAAATCCCTGGCCCAAGGATGCTCTTTAGGTACTGATAAGGAAAAATCTCCAAAATAAATGTTGCCATTAATGTTAAAAAAAAAAACAACGCATGTTTATAGCAGCACAACTCATAATAGCTAAATCTTGCAAATATCCTATATGTTCATGAAGAGATAAATGGATAAACAAAGTGTGATATTTACATACAATGGCTTTCTAAGAAAGATAAATTTGAGCCATTTGTAGGAAAATGGATGTACCTTGAAACCATAATATTAAGTTAAATAAATCTGACATGGAAATTTGACTATTACACGCTTTGTTTCGTATGAGAACCCCAAAGCAAAAATTAAAGAGCGTAATAAAAGATAGACAATAAAAACAAAACAAAAACCCATGCATAATGTCTCATTCCTGGTATCCCAACAGTCTGGGATCGAAGCAGGAGGATGAAAAGCTCAAATCGACCTGGGCAACTTAGCAACTTAGTGAGACCCTATCTCAAAATAAAAAATAAAAAGGCGCGAGGGAGTATTCAGTGAGAATTCTCTGGGCTCAAACCCAGTACGAGAAAAACAAAACAAAGCAAAACAAACCGCTCTGTTGCTCAAGGAACGCTATCCCCTGGCCGCCCTCCAGTGGCAGGTGCTGCATACGCACGTGGGAAAGATTCGGAGGAGATACCAGGGATTGGCTTGGGTGACTGGGAGAGAGCTAGACACTGTATTAACGCGGGATTGTGTACTCAGTGGGTAACACAAGGAGTAGGACAGCGTGGCGCCTGTGATAATAGACAAATGTTGTAAATGTATGGTTTTATACAAAGTCTGGGAAAGCTATTGCTGCCATTTGCTGAGTACTTACTATCTCACTTAACGACAGCAATTTGTTGTTGTTGTTGCTGTTTTATTCGTTTTTGTTTTTTGAGGCAGGGTCTCGCTATGTAGTGCAGGCTGACCTTGAACTCACCATGTAGCCCAGGCAGGCTTGGGGTGCTGCTTCTGCCTCAGCTTCCCGAGTGCCGGGACTGCAGGCGTGCGTCACCACGCCCAGTCTACACCCCAGATTTCTAATGATCCAAACCCTACTGGCTGCGTTGTACTAGTGGCTCTTCATCCCTTCCCTGCACACAGCACTATTTTTTGTTTGCTTGTTTGTTTGGTACCGGGGATCGAACTCAGGACTTTGCACTTGCCAGGCAGGCGCGGCGCCACTGAGCTACATCCCCGCCCGGCACAGCACCTCTGCCTGGAGACCATGAAGTCCCAAGGACTTCCCCCCACAGCTCCAGAGTCCTCCGCTTTCAAGAGGGCATCCGAGGGCCGGCAGAGGAAGGAGAGGCCCTGGGAGCCCAGGAACGCACTGGCAGAGAGCCGGAAAACCCAGCTCCGCCTCTCCCTGGCAACCCATCCCAGATCCAGTTACTCTAGCGCTTTTGTTCCTGGGTCTTCTCATCCATAAACCAAAGTGACCCGGGGAGAAGGGGGCGAGAAGGGGTGTGATGGGTGAAAGAGCAATCGTAGTCTGACATTTGTCTTTTTTCTGACATTTGTTTTGCTGCTGTGAAGGTTAGATAGTGCCTGTAAATTGGCTGGAGCAGTGACACATGGAAGCACTCAGTAAGGTGGTGAGTTTTTGGTTTGGTTTGGTTTGGTTTTTGGTACAGGGATCGAGCTTGGGAACAGGCAGTGGAACCACTGAGCTAAATCCCCGACCCTTTTGGTTTTGATTTTTACTTTGGAAATGCTGTTTCCAGGCCTGTGCATGCCTGTGATCCCAGCTCTCTGGAGGCTGAGGCTGGAGGGTCACTGTGAGTTCAAGGCCTGACTAAACTACATAGTGAGACCCTGTCTCAAAAAGAAAAAAAAAAATTCAGAACTATGAAGCCAGGCACAGAGGCACATACCTGTAATCCTAGCACTAAGGAGGAGACAGAAGGGCGACAAATTTGAGTTCTGCCTGGGCAACTTAGACTTTGCCTCAAAATTGAAAAAATCAAGTGCTGTGGAGTATGCCCTTGGGTTTGACCCCCAGTATTGCAGAAAGGAACAAACGGAGGAAGGAAAGGAGGAAGGAGGAAAAGAAGGAGGGAGGGAAGGAAGGAAGGATTGAGGAATACGGCTGGGTGTGGCTCCCTAGTACAGAGTCTGCCTAGCAGGGGCGAGGCCCTGGGTTCAATTCCCACCACCACCACCACCACCAAAAACCTTTGCCTCCAATCCAGATCTTGCTTTTCCTGGTGACCCTGAGGAAATCAGAGAATGAAATCCAGGCTGAGGAGGCCGGAGGTGTATTCTGCAGGCTGTTTCTGTCTCCAGATGCCTTTGTTGATGGACAGCTGCGGATCTTCTCCTCCACACTTGTCTCTCTAGGCACAGCCGACCCAAGCTCCTAGCATCGACTGTGCTTTCCCCGAATGCACCCTCTGGGGTGAGAGGCAAAGTAAGCCAAGCAGCCTACTGTTGGGCCAGCCATGATGTACAGAGACTGGTGAGGGCCAGAGTACAGCCCCACAGGCCTGAGCTCGGTGCTCACTTGCCCCAGGAACAGAGAAGTGTGACTTTCAGGCTAAGCCCTAAACAGCACTCCTGAGCAAGATGGCTCCTACTGAGGGCAACGCCCCATGCAGGTGCAGACATCCGGGTGTGGGGAAGGACCTTAGGGTTTCTCTTTGAGATGCTAAACTTGGTCCCTAGCTTGCTATTCTAATCTTACTGCAGTCGCTGCTCCTGGAATAGTATACTTCGCCCTCCCCTGTGCTTCTCGGTGAATAATAGAAGCGGGCCCTCCGTGGAATTCGGGGAAGTCTGTCCACTAGAGACAGTTTCCTCCCGGGGGAAATTGCATACTGTGCCTGTCTCTTTCTTTTATTCCCCGATGTTCTCTCTCCAGGTATTCGGAGTCCAAAGAGCTCCTGCCCACCTCGTAAGCATAAGAGCATGGATCTGCAGCAGGACTTTGACGTCAAGAGAAGTGGCCTGGCGAAGGCAGTTGTGAGACCATAGAAATAGGGAGTCAAGGGTGGGTGGGGAAGAAGGCCACGTTTTCATTTATTCATTCATTTTTGAAGACTAAACAGTAATCGCTCTCCCTTGGCTAGTTCTGAGGGCTGGAGGGGTTGTAGGAAGCTTGAAGACTCTGTGAACAGGGCTCCCTGGGGTCCAGGGCAGGGTTGAGCCCACTGAACAGCCCTAGTTGTCCCCTCTAGACTGGGTCACCAGGAGGGGCAGGAGGAAGGCCCAGTACCAGGCGGCCAGGGCTCCACTGCTCTAGGGGCGGGGACAGCAGCCCTGCTCATCCCCATGGTCTGTGGCCCTTTTGTGTAAACTCCTGGCAGGGTGACTCGGGCTGTTCCTACAGGCACAGCTGTGACCGTGGCCAGTGGAGGCTAGGCCGGCAGCAGGGCCCTCCTAGATCTTCCCTTCAGCATTCTTGGGGGGCAGGGGCCATGCAGCCCGAGGGCCTCTGCTTGGCCTGACCCCTGGGGGGCTCCGGCCCAGTAACAGAAATGCTGGGTTTATCAAGCTCCTCGATGCCCCGATGCCTCCTGGCCCTCCTCCTCGTCCAGCTGCCATCCAGCTATGCAGGTAAGATGTGATTACTCCTTTCCTGGGGAGACCTGAGAGCAGAAAGGCCAGTTTCCCAGTGCTCATTTCCTGCAGTCGTCCTCAAATGTCTATGCAGCTTTCCCAAATCGAGAGCTGCTGACACGGTTCCCCTTTTCTGAAAGCTTTGTGGCTCCTCACAGAGTAGAAACCAAACTTTTTTTTTCAGTGCTAGGAATTGAACTCAGGGCCTTGCACATGCTAAGCAAGTGGTTTAGCTTTGGTTTTTTACCTCTCAAATGGGAACAAAACAGTAATAACCTCTTAGCATTGCCATCAGGGTCCAAAGAGCTATGGAGCGTGCTCAGCAGTGCCCGCGTGTAGCAAAGCCAGTGTCTGCTGCATTATAACATCTTGTTGGGGAGCTCCCATTGCAGAATCAGGCACCAAAAGTCTTTTAGGGAAGCTTTGTTCCCCCACACAGAGCAGAAATAATAGAGCCAGGGCCAGGGATGTAGCTCAGTGGTGCCTGGAAAGCACAAGGTCCTGCGTTCGATCCTGGGTACCAAAAAAGAAAGAAAGGAAGGAAGGAAGGAAGGAAGGAAGGAAGGAAGAAAGAAAGAAAGAAAGAAAGAAAGAAAGAAAGAAAGAAAGAAAGAAAGAAAGAAAGAAAGAAAGAAAGAAACCATAGAAACAGATGATGAGTCCCACTCTCAGAGAGAGACATCTTCTTCATCTGGAAGAACCTTCCCGGGCCAGGGAGAACCTGCCTTCCCTCCCAGCAGCCCAGAGTCTCAGGAAACTTGGCCTGTGAGGGAAGACCAGGATGGTGCTCAGAGCAGGCTCCAGGGCCGGGGAGGCTAAAGAGCTCGTAGGACGCACACCCATGGTCCCAGCAGGCTGGAAGCCGAGGCAGGCGGATTGCAGACTCAAGCCCAACCTGGGCAAGGTGGCAACTTAGCAAGGCCTTGCCTCAAAAAGAGAAGAGAAGAGAAGAGATGGGGATGTAGCTCAGTGTGAAAGCCCTGCACTCAACCCCAGCAGCACAAGAAAGGAAAATGTGCATCTGGAAGAGAGCCACTGCTGGAGCGGGAGGTCCCGGAGGAGCATCTGGAAGGGGTGGGCGTGAGGACAGAGGCCCGGGAGCCAGTAGATGGGCAGTAAAGTGGGCGGCACGACTCCAGCTAAACCTCTAAGGGGCAAACAGAAGTCAGCTGAGCCAAGACCAGACAGGAAGGCTCTAGGAAAATTCAGCTCAAGACACTAAGTCAAACCAGGCACAGTGGCGCAAGCCTGTCGCCTCCGCACTTTGGGAGGCTGAGTCAGGAAGGGGAACTGTAAGTCTGAGTCCTGTCTCGGAGCTTAGCAACTTAGTGAGACCTTGCCTCAAAATAAAAAATTTAAAAAGGGAAATGGAAATGTAGTTCATGGAAAGGGCCTGGGTTCAATCCTCACTACTGAAACCAAAAAGAAGAAGAAAGGAAGAAAATTGAAACCCTAAGTGCCCCCCGTCCTCCCCGCGACACTTGTGGCTCCCTCAACCCTTGGCCTCTCCTCCTTGGTGTCCCCCACAGGGCAGTTCCAAGTGGTGGGACCAGCACATCCTCTCCGGGCCCTGGTCGGGGACGCAGTGGAGCTGCCCTGCCGCATCTCTCCTGGGAAGAATGCCTCGGGCATGGAGGTGGGGTGGTACCGGCCCCCATTCTCCAGGGTGGTCCACCTGTACCGCCAGGGCAGGGACCAGGACGCAGAGCAGGCCCCCGAGTACCGGGGGCGGACCGAGCTGCTGACGGAAGCCATCGGGGAGGGGAAGGTGACCCTCAGGATCCGGAACGTCAGGTTCTCTGACGAGGGCGGCTTCACCTGCTTCTTCCGAGACCATTCTTACCAAGAGGAGGCGGCGGTGGCGTTAAAAGTGGAAGGTGAGTGCCGTGGCACCGGGTGTCTGAGGCTTCAGCCTTGCTCTCAGTTGAGATGCGGTCCTTCAACCCAAGCATCTCACTCCTGAGGGTCAGCTCCATAGATGTGCAAACAGTACACCGGAGCTGCTGGTGTGTGTCTGCTGCATCACTGTTGGCTTCGGGAAGGAGATAGGAGTCAAAATCAATGCCATGAACAGGGAATTGGCTAAATAAATGATGACATCTCTACCGTGAATATTATGCAGCCATTAAAAAGATTGTTTTAGAAAAAAAAAGATTGTTTTAGAGTATATCAGGTGGCTTGAAAGCATTTCATGAGGAATTGTTGAATGATAAAAGCAAACTGTAGCTGGGGCTGGGGATTTAGCTCAGTGGTTCTGGTGCCTGCCTTGCAAGCGCAAGGTCCTGAGTTCAATCCCCAGTACCAAAAAAAAACAAAAAACAAAAAAGCAAACTGTAGAATATAGGAAACAAAGACATGGCTCTATGTGAGAGTGTGTGTGTATATATATTTGGGTATACATGTATTCAAAGAAAAATATGAAAAGATACCCACAAGAAAATTAATATGGATCACTTTGGTGTAAAAGAGGAGAGGAGAGAGAATAGAAATGTGAACCAACCAAGAATAAAAAAGAAGAGCCCATAATTATCCATGTGATCATATTTATCTATTCATTTAAAAGTATATATAAGCAGGCTGGTGATTTAGCTCAGTGGTTCCACCGCCTGCCTTGCAAGCGCAAGGACCCAAGTTCGATCCCTGGTACCAAAAAAAACCAAAAAAAGTATATATAAGCCAGGCACGGTGGCACAGGTCTGTGATTCCAGTACTTAGGAGGTGGAGGTAGAAGGATTGAAAGGATGAGACAAATTTAGTGAGACACTGTCACAAAAAAAACATTTTTTTAAAAAGGTCTGGGGTCAAGGGATGTAGCTCAGTGGCACTGTGCCTGCCTGGTAAGCAAGAGGTTCTGAGTTCAACCCCCAGTACCAAAAAAAGGTCAAAACAGGGCCAGGGATTTAGCTCAGTGGTTTCACTCCCTGTTGCGCAAGTGCAAGGACCTGAGTTCGATCCCCGGTACCAAAAAAAAAAAAAAAAAGCCCAAACACAAAAACGGTCTGGATGTATATCTCAGTGGAAGACCCCTTGCCTAGCACAAACAAGGTCCTGGGTACCAAAAAAGAGAAGGAAAGAAGGAAGGAAGGAGGGAGGGAAAGGGGAGAGACAGAACTGAAAGTGGTGGTATACAAACATGCAATCCCAGCACTCGGGAGAAGGGCAGGCCAGCCTAGGCTGTATGGGGAGATCCTGTCTCAGAAAAAGTTTACATGATAGATACATCTGTGAGAACAGATCAGAGAAGTTAAAGAACAGTTCTTTTTTTTATTTGTTTTTGAGATAGGGTCTCACTGTGTAGTTCAGGCTGGCCTCAAACTCACAGCAGTCCTCCTGCCTCAGAAAGACAAAAGGCAAAATAGGGAAGATGAGACATGCAGGCAGAAAACATCCAAAATAATCTATTTCTATTATTTTGTGCTGCTACAGGGGACTATGTATTTATAACTCAAGAGAGTTAACGTAAGATCTGAGTGGACTTCTCAAATTCTCTTTGGAATGTCTTTATTAGTCATGAAGAAGAACATTATCCCTCCTTTGGCATGTATATATTGTATCCTTAGGTGAGAAACTATCAATCCCAGGGCTGGGGATTGAACTGAGGGACTTCTCACTGAGCTACATCCCAGCCCTCATTGTTTAATTTTGAGACAGGATCTGTTTTAGTTACTTTTTAGTTACTTTTCTGGTTGCTGAGATAAAATACCCAACACCCACAGGAAAGGTTTATTTAATAGCTCACCATTGGTAGGGGCTTCAGTCCATAGTAGGCTGGCTCCAAGACAGGGTGGTTTTGGAAAGGAGAAACAGTTCATGGTGGGCAGAAGGCAGCAAAGCAACAAAGGACGAACACAGACCTTTCTATCCCTTATGTCTTATCCAGGTTACTTAGGGTAGGTAACACTCACACCCTTAATCCTAGTGCCTTTGATCCTAGCATTGCACCATCAGTCAATCCCAGCATCACACACTCTAGATTCAGCCACCTCTGAAAAAACTCCACACATGAAGCTTTGGGGGAATCTCTAGACCCAAACCATAACAGAGTCTCACTGAATTGCTGAGTTTCCCAGACTAGGCTCAAACTTTGGCTCATCCTGCTTCAGCCTCCTGAGGAGAAGCATCCCCCCCCCCCCCCGTACCGGGGATCTAACTCAGGACCGTGCACTTTCGAGGCAGGTGCGGTACCACTGAGCTAAGTCCCCAGCCCTAGGAGAAGCATTCTTGCCACTCTGACATTCATGTCAAACTCAGTCCAAGGGAACAAACACAAACAGCGAGGATCTGAACAGATACAGAGGGAAACAGATGTCACCTGTAGCTTTTGTGTTCATGCTTCAGTTCTCCCAAACGCCACGATAGTGTGTGCGCTGGATGACTCCGCAGCTTGATATTTATTCTGTCTCAAGCGGGGCACAGGAGGAGCTTGGAAAGTTAATGGCTGTTTAATGGAAGAACAGACCTGTTCTGAGAGCCCAGACAGCCGGTCCTTTGCCCATGCCGCCTCCCGGCATGTGCAAACATCACACAATCCCTGGCTTCTGTGTCTGTGTGGGGTGATTAGAAGGTGGCATTGTGCGCACAGTGACAAAGCCCTATTTCTAGAGACAGAGCGCAGATGCCTGGAAACAGCTCTGTGTGTCTCGGAGTGTTCTTCAGGCAGCTGTCTTTGCCGGGTAATTTTTACCCTTGAAGAGTTCAGTAGGGAGGACTTCAATGTATAGATTTTCCTCTTTCTGGCTCAACACCCTTCTAATCCAGTAACTGCCTCCTCCACATACTCTCTGAGGCCAACATCAAAAAAGAAAGAAGGAGGAAGAAAGCCCAAAAACTGCCGCAGGGGAGTTTTCCTCTGAGCCCCACCCCCCC